GGGTTGCATATGAAGAGTTTTTGCAAAATATGAGGTTTTACTTTATTTGGCATGTAATTTATTGTGGACCAAAAGCATTTTTGCCTTTGTGTACCAAGTAGTTCAGCTGAGAATTTTGTCAAACACACTCAAAGAAATGAAATCAGATCTCCCACTTTACAACAATGCAAGAAAAATGACGAGATTACTACAGAGAGAGAGAGAGAGAGAGAGAGAGACGAGATTTAAAAAAAAAACCTTCCATGGAAAGTGGTTAAGGGCAGGATTTCACACATATTAGAGGTCAAGCAGAGTGTGGTTATTTGCAAAAAGTCCAGAGTTGCCATTGTTGCCTGAGGTGGGCGTCACAATGTGTTCTGTCACTTTAAAAGGAAAAGTCTGACTCAGAGGAGCAGCAGCTGTATTACAGAAAGTAAATTTTTTTGTTGATTTACAGAAAACATTATTTGTCGGCCCACTATAAAAACAGAAATCTATAGTAGATCATTTAAAAAAACAGGAACTTTTCTGTCATTTAATTGTTTAGTACTTAAGTAGGTTGGTGCGGTGTACAGGAGGTCTTTATCAGCAGGGGAAGCTGTAAAGCAATACAGTTAAGTCTGAAATGACTGTCCTCCTTTCTATAAATGATTAAAATTGAAGGCATTAAAGGGACTACCAGTCACCAGCATTTCTTGACGTATTGCATCAAACATGTGTCATAACGATAGTTCCTATTACAGAAGTTGTTGCACAGCCTAAGAGTTTCTTACTTCCTCATGCCAGTGTCTGTTTCATTCAAAGTTTATCAACGTTAAGAAAAAAGATTAGCAGTTGAAAAATGATGTTGTGCTTCCTGTACATAAAATAAGAAAGCAAATTCAACTTTGACAGTAGTTTCTCAGCATGATATTTCTCTCTCTTTTGTTTGTGATCTTTAGAGTGTGTTGGTGTGAACCCTATGACGATCCCCCAGGGTCCGCTCACAAGCAACTACAAGAACTTTACACTCAAGTTCCACAAGTACGGCTTCATTTTTCACATGGCTTCGTTTCCTCTCTGTTGACAAGATTATCTGCGTGGTATCTAACGATCACATACCTCTGCAGCACACATAGACAAACAAACACAAGCATGTATACAAGGACAGTGACTCAAACCCACAGAGATATGATATGAATCATGTTGTGTTTCTTGTCCTGCATGTGTGCCTCTGATCATTCTTTTAGTCACCTTGGTTTCATTGTTAGAAATTAGATGTTTATTTGTTTGTTTTGTTTTTCTTTTTAAACAGGTTGATTAATGTTACCATAGAGTTCCAGCTGAAGGCGATAAATATCCAGACTATCATCAACAACGAGATCCCAGACTGCTACACCTTTCATATAACAGTGAGTTTAAAGACTTTCAGACTCAACACATGCTTGAGCTGTCATATGTCAAGCCTGCTTATAGAAAAACATTACTGGCTGTGCATTAGAATTTAGTGACGGTGGTCTTTCCCCATACATCTACTGTTGGAAGAACCCAGAAACTATTTTAATGGTTGTCAAACCAAGTCTTTACTGATATAACTTAGGGTATCGAAGCTACAGGGGGAGGTTGTCGAATATGGGGGAAAGAGTTAAAGTGAAAACAAACAAACCAGCCTCAGCGCAGTCCATTTATGAAACCAGCCGTGTAAGTTTACTCTTTAGTTCCAGTTGACTGCTGCTCACAAACAGGTTTGAACAGCTGCTGTGCTCGCAGGCCGAGCTGTGTGCGTCATTTAAAACCTTCTTCTCTCTTTTACAGATAGTTCTGGACAACAAGGCTCACAGTGGCAAGGTGAAGATCCGGCTAGATAACCAGGCGTCAATAAAGGAGTGCAAAGACCCGAGCATCTCTGGACAAGGTGAGAAAACAGAAAAGAAGAAGCATCTGTTAGTGGTCATGGGACTACTGCAGCAGTAGTACAGCAAGCAAAATATGACACCAGTGATGAAACTAGAAACATGTAAGCAAAGGTGTTACAAAATATCACAAAGTTGTTTCTAGTTCACAATAATGAGCCAACAGGAAGTTACAATGAGTGAAGTTATTTATACAGAAGTGTGTAGCAGTAGGCTTAGACTGCAGCCATGAAGAGGAGACAGACTGCTCACATCTCTTTTTTTTCTCCTCTTTAACCTCCAGTTCAGACGTACGCACGTTTGGCATTTGATATTATTGTGGTTCTGATCTGCATGCTGTCGCTGGTGCTGTGCGGACGCTCCATAATACGAGGCATCATGCTGCAATGGGTAAAGAAAATCTCCAATACAACTTTACTATCACCTGGGGCCACTCACATTAGAGGAACATCAGGTTCTAAGGAAATGTCAGACTCAGAGTAGTAGCTTCTAGAGATGGACCGATCCGATATTACGTAACAGTATCGGTCCGATACTGACGTAAATTACTGGATCGGATATCGGAGAGAAATAAAAAATGTAATCCGATCCATTAAATATCAAAAAAGCACCTCACAAAACTTGCGACACGGCGTAACTCGGCTCATAATCGTAGCACGTCGGAGCAGTGTGCTCACGTGATAGAGCAGCTGTGTGTATTTGTAGCCTCCCTACCAAACCGGCATTTCGTGTCCGAGGAAGTTATCCCAGAGAGAAATAAAGCAAATGTGTAAGTTCATCTCTGTTTGTAAAGCATCCCCACGTTAATCTTTACAACCGATATATGGAGCGAATGTCTCTTCTCTATCCCTCCCTCTCTTGCTGCTGCTTCAATCATGAAACTGATCAATGATCAGCTGATCGCCTTTTCTGTCGCGAGTCGTCTCTGTTGCTTGTCTATTGCCCACTTCGCGCCAGAAAGAGGAAACCAGCGGGTGAACAACAGCAGCACGTTTAAGTTTGATAAGCTGTTGTTAGAATTTATTTAATATTACTTTCTACACCAGGATCTTTTTCTACGTAGCTGATGGCTGGTAACTGTGCAGGGGCGGATCTAGCAAAGTTTAGCCAGCGGGCCCTATAGGGTATTAACAGGGAAAAGGGGGCACAAAGACATACTTTTCTTTCTTATTCTCATTTAAAATGTATAGCTTTTAATAAATAATTATCCGAATCTTACACCCAAAGTTTTAATCTGATGTAAAATCTATAGAAGTCCATTACTGTATATAGTAACTATTTAGTCTAATATACCTTAGTAAGCTATAGTACTTTTTCCTTTGGGAAGGTACCATCTGTGCAGGCTGCAGTTCTGTTGAAGAAAGATGTTAAATCTATTTAATTATTCTTGAAAAATAATTCATTTCTGTGCATTTTTTTTTCACACTGCATCAAATTAAAGTTGATTACGTCAATTAAGCATCATGAGGTGGAGGGTGGGTTTTTTTTGTTTGTTTTTTTTACTTGAGTATGAACTTATACAAAAAGCAGCAAGATATTAAAAAAACAGGTTTATTGATTAAAAAACACACTATATCGGATTCATATCGGTATCGGCAGATATCCAAATCTATGATATCGGTATCGGACATAAAAAAGTGGTATCGTGCCATCTCTAGTAGGTTCTCATTCTAACCTTTAAATGTTTTTCTTAAATAATTTTGTGAAAGTTAATAGTAGCCTGACTGGGGATCCATATTGTATTAGGGGTGAGTTTCAGTAATTGATTTATTGATTAAAATTGATTTTAGCTTTAACAAAGCCATATCGATTCATTAAAATCCTGAATCGATTTTTAAATATTAATATATTTTGCCAGAAATGCCAGAATCTCAGGTTAAACCTCACAAACAGCTAAAATAGCAAACGAGAGCAGGTAAACAGATTCCGCAAAAAGATGTGAACACAAAGCGCGGACCCGACGCATCAGAATCCGTGAGATGTTGGCTTTCTCACCCGGCGCCACGTACACAGACATTGCGGCTGAAAGCCGGCAGCTCACCGATTCCGATTCGTCGGGTCCGCGCTTTGTGTTTACGTCTTTTTTTGTGCTAGGGCCCTCTGACCACCTGGTGGTGGTCAGAGGGCCCGGTGGCGCCAGTGTCCGGCAGCCTCGCCTCTGTCAGTGCGCCCCAGGGTGGCTGTGGCTACAATGTAGCTTGCCCCACCAGTGTGTGAATGGGTGTGTGAATGGGTGGATGACTGGATATGTAAAGCGCTTTGGGGTCCTTAGGGACTAGTAAAGCGCTATACAAATACAGGCCATTTACCATTTACCATAGATTCTGAAGCTGCAGGTTTCATCGCTCTCCATCCAAATTGACTGAACCAGCAGCAAAAGAAGATCCAAACTAAGCTTGACATTTTGCTTCACATAAACATCGTCATGAATGCCCTCTTACTTTTGCTGTTTTGCTTCCACCACGATAAAATGATACTTCTTGCAGAGCTCTCTCTCCCTCTCTCTGTTTAATTTGAGAGCAGTTTCCCATCTAAAAAGCTCAATTTTCTGCACTTTTCACTTCCTTATTACCCAACAGTCTACCGTTGTGTACAGCACTGTCGGCCACTGTTTAGTTTTTGGGTTTTTTTTGTTTTTTATGACCTCATTTCTGCTGTTCAAAACCTCTAACTTTGCTCTGCTTCACTTCAGTAGCATCAGGTTCATACACTGAATTTATATATACTATAAATCGAATTGAAATTGTGGCTCGAATCAATTTGGGACCTTGCGAATCGGAATCAAATCGATTCTAGAAATCAGTGACAATATTGTATTCTACTGATGTGTGTAAACTTGGCTAATCTCTCTTTGTCTTTGCTCTGCAGGAGTTTGTGCAGTTCTTTAAGACGACGCTAGATCGTAAAGTGTGCTGGGGAGACCGGCTTGAGTTTATTAATGGCTGGTATATCCTCCTCATCATCAGTGACATCTTTACAATCACTGGCAGTTTCATCAAAATCGGCATCGAGACAAAGGTCTAATATCAGCTTTAGTTTTGGGGTTTTTTTTTTAGCATTGACACACATTAACATGTACATGTAGTCTTAGCTTTTTTTAAAAGCCAATTCCTTTGGGTTTTTTCCAACAGAATATATCCTCCTATGACCTCTGTGCCATCCTTTTGGGAACCTCCACTCTCTTAGTGTGGGTGGGAGTCATTCGCTACCTCACATTCTTCCAGAAGTACAATGTAAGTCGCAGATGTGCTGGTGCACAGCTTCTGATAACATTGTTACATGCTGCTGATTTAATAACATGTGAGAAAGGGAGAAGTTCCTCCTGTGGGTTGATGTAATGTAGAAGGCCATTTAATTTGGTGTCTCTGGCCTCTCTCACACTGTAATTTGATCTGTGTTGTGTTTCTGCACCTCCCTGCTGCAGATCCTTATCGTGACACTTCGAGCAGCTTTCCCCAATGTTATTCGGTTCTGCTGCTGTGTGGCTGTCATCTATCTGGGCTACTGCTTCTGTGGCTGGATCGTCCTGGGACCATACCATGTCAAGGTGAATTAAATGTGGGAAAAACTCAATGTCAAAAACTTGTTTCCACTCCTTGGATTTTTAAGTTTAAGAACTTAAGTTTTAGTTCACTTGCACCGACCAGGCATAACATTATGACCACTCACAGGTGAAGTGAATAACTGATAGTGGGTGGGATATACTGGGGACCAAGTGAATGTTGATGCAGTAGAAGCAGGAAAAATGGGCAAACTGGACCACAGAGTAATGAAAGAAGGCGTCTTTGTCTCGTGAATTACATCTTTTTTTTCACATCTAGTTGATGGCCAGGTGTGTGTGCGTCACTTACCTAGGGAACACCTGCACCATGATTTAAATGTGCCAGGTGTTTGCCTTTGCCTTTTCTCACTATGAGAATAAGGCAAACTGACGGAGGCAGTGTGACACTTTGGGCAATGTTCTGCTGGGAAACCTTGGGTGGTGCCACAAAGCAAACAGGGTTCAGTTTGAGGTGCTGGCTTGGCCTCCAAATTCCCCCTATCTCAATCCAATCCAGCATCTGTGGGATTTGCTGGAAAAACAAGTCTGATCCATGGAAGCTATGCCTCAAAACTTAAAGGATCTGCTGCTAACATCTTGGTGCCAGATACCAGCGCACATGTGCTGTGGTCTGGTGGTGTCTTACCAGGTCAGGGCTGTTTTGGCAGCAAAAAGGAGAACAGCACAATCTTAGGCAGGGGGTCATGACATTATGCCTGATCGGTGTGGATGAGTAAATGTGAACACACAAAACGTGCCTATTTAAAAAAAAATTTAGTAGGCCACACAAATGCCATTCTGCAATAATATTTAAGTTGTGTAACAGAGAAGATAATTAAACAGCTTTGGACTTCCTTCTTCCTTTCGGACATTTCTCCGTCCACTGAGTAAGTCAGTGGAACAGAAACATGAACTACAGTTTATTCTGACTTTTAATTTGCTTTCAGAAACTTGACTTTTTCTCTAACCTTTGGAAAATATCTTGCTAAAACTTAAGGCTTTGATAATTAAAATACCCTTTCTTTTCTTTTTTACAGTTCCGCTCTCTGTCCATGGTGTCCGAGTGTCTGTTCTCCCTCATTAACGGCGATGACATGTTCGTGACGTTCGCAGAGATGCAGGAGACCAGTCCTCTAGTGTGGCTGTTTAGCCAGGTTTACCTGTACACCTTCATCTCCCTCTTCATCTACATGGTGCTGTCTCTGTTCATCGCTCTCATCACAGGAGCGTACGAGACCATCAAGGTAGGAAATTGCTGCATATAAAAAGGATCAGTTTATTTACAATGTGTAGAATCACTCAGTCTGCATTACAAAGAACTCACCGTAGCATCCAAACTGTTGCTTCTGTATTTACTGTGGACTACAAATAAAGAGCCGAAAAGTAACAGTAGTGTCTTTTTTTGTTGATTTCCACAGCATCAAACCCAAGAACCAATCCACATAACAGATCTGCACGCCTTTATAGCAGAGTGCACAGATGCACCAAATTCTGGGAAGTTCAGAGGTTTGGAGACTTCACCTTGCTCCTTCTTCTGCTGCTGTGACAGGTGAGTGAGTCTCCTGTGACCCCCCTGAAAGCTTAAACATGTACGTCATATTCAAAGAGATGGGTCAAAGCATATAAACAGATCAATATTTTCTTTTTTTTTTAAATTAAATTAACATAATGCTACATTTCTAAAGACCAAAGCAGATAAATGCGACAGCGGGCTTTATTAAACAACCACAAAAACTGTGAAGTCTGACTCCCTAATCTAAGCTGACAGCACAAAAATATCAAGAGAGAGAGAAAGACGATATTTCTCTACCATTTATACTGGTGTTAATTATCAGGCTCTGACCAAGCACACTGGAAAGAAATCAGGTCATTTTCTCTTTCCTCACATTTATACATCCTTTGTACTATTTACATCTAGTTCTCCTGGTATCCTGTTCTCATGACTTAGTCTTTCCAAACACATATTCAAATCAATTTTGTTCATATAGCACCAAATTTACTCAACAGTCACCTCAAGGTGCTTTAGTTGGTAAGATAAAGACACTAAAATAATACAGAGAAAACCCCGACAACCAGATTCAGTAAATATTACCATTAAGAAACTGTAATTATAGAGATAATAATGTTAAACATACTAACTGTAGTAAATCATCAAACCTTATTTTCCCCTCAGAACAACCACATATGAAGATGTCCTGCTGGTGAACTGAAGTCAACCTCACCAATCTCTGAAACCTCACTAGCCTCCCCTGCTGACCAATAGGGCACACTGCATCCACCCAACACCCGTTGTCTCCGTGTATCTGGGTCAAACCAAACGACTGTTCCAAAGTGGGAGTTGCGATTGGCTGGAACTGCGCTCTGCAGAGGAAACGTGGAACAGCAGCCGTCTTCTTGGACCTGTAGCTTTATGAAGAAGCAGCTGTTGGCTGATGAAGAGCCTCTGTATAAACAGCAGCATCGAAGAAGGCTATTGCACAGACATTTCTCTTGGTTCTAGTGTGTTTTTTGAAACATTATTCAGTATTTTTAATATATCTGGTGTATTTTATACTCACCCAGACTAGGAACTCTTTTGGTGCTTTCTATGTTTTGTTTTTTGTTTGTTTGTTTTACTTTTGAAGTATTTCAAATCGGTTGGCTCCTGAGGACGAGACTCTTAAAATTAGATATTTATATCATATTCGGCAACATTTTATTGTACAGAACCCATTTTAAAAATTTAAATAATCTAATATCTCTTAAATGCCTCTTTATAGCCAAAGCTAATTTGCTAGCTGGAGAATCATGACATGACATTTAAACAGAACAGGACAAAAAATCCCCCATGTGATTGTTTTTACAGAGTTCCAAAACATATCAGGAAACGGGACCACAGATAGGCGTATGGCGTGGAATTGATTCATTTTCTTTGTGAACTGCACATTTATTATAAAGTTTCGACCAGTGTCATTAGCGGCGGCTCTGCTGCATCATGTTGCCTTCAAATGTAGATCCCAGTTTATTTCATTTTTATTGCTTTGTTTTCTTTCAGTAATGATCAGGGTAATGGGACGCAATCGTTCACTAACAAAGCACTTAGCTTTTGCCTGACCTTGGCTGCAGTTTCTTCTTCAGACCCACATTTTTTTTAATGAAGCTGAAGTATTAAAAAGAAACTCGGTGTATCAAAGCCAAAAGTGCTGCACCCCTGTTTGTAGACTGCGTTGATGACCATTAGCAAACTGGATCTGACTTATTTTAAGCACAATAAGTAGTTCTAAGTAAAGCGGAGTCTGGTTTGGGAGAGATGACAAGAAGGAAAACAACAGATTGTCCTGTTTTAGTGGCTTGCTCTGCTTTTTTTTGTTGTTTGTTGTCTTCATAATGATGTCTCTAACTGCTGCCTACTGACTTGATCTTTAGTAGAAACTTGAATAATGTATGTTTGTTTGTCTTTTTATCGCAAAAAAACGCACAATAGTTTAAGGAGTTTTTCAGTCTGGACTCCAAATACCATTTAGAGAGAGGAGCTTTGGGTCAGGGAGGAGTAGGTAAATGAAGTATAAGATGTTTTTTCAGCCTTTTCATTTTCTGCCTGAAACACCAGCAGAGTAAATTGTAAGCTAAATATACAGATGGACTTTGGATTTCCATGGACAACATGTCTAAATTATACATAACTTTAAATGTTGTATCTTGTGTTTCCCTGGAGGGTTTTTTTTTTT